TATGTTTCTAGAAGTGCTCATGAAGAAGACTGAACATCATATGTATTTCTTGCTGTCCTTTTAGTCTTCATGTATTTTAGACTACAACTGCCTTTTGCAGTTTGGATTTATTATATCAACAAGAGGAAAATAAAATAAATGGGCCCCGGATACATTTCTTTTTTCTTCTTCTGGAATGTTGGATTCTCCTTCTGGAATCCGGGGCTGTCTCTTTTTCATCTTGCTCTGGAACAAGCCAGAAAGCATTTCTTCCATTGTTCTTAGCATTTATGCCTATGACTCAAGTTTCTAGAGGCATAATTTTCTTTTGTGTTTCTGACTTCCTGGCCTTCCTTTTGCTTCTATTGAGTATCATCTTTTTAAATCTCAGCTCATCAGATAATTTGGCTTTCTTGAAAAGCAAGCAATCCACGGTAGAGTATTGTTGTCTCCATGTATTTGATGAAGCATTGAGATTTCTTACAAAGGACTCACTCACAACCATGCCTCAAATAGAAGTCTTTTCTAACAGTTTTTATTCTTGCGGCTGCACTGACAATAACTTAATAATAATTACATTAATTATTTGACTGGTAAAACTGTGTAGCATAGTATAATATGTGAGACACAAAATTGTGAAAGCAAAAGTGAGTAGAAAATATATTAATACTTTAGGGAATATCCTGTTAATTAGTGCCAAACTATCGTAGTGCCGGGCACCTGTAAATGGTGACGGTATAGTGACACGCTGAAAGGTAAATTTCAGATGTCAGTGGTTATAGAAATTAATTGTATGCTTAGTGTGGAATATGTGACTGCAATTACTTAAATAGTCTGACTCCACTGTCTCCAACTTGTAGTACTTTCTCTCTCAATGATACCTCCTTTAAAACATCCATGTTGATGCATGTAGCTTCATATGTATTCTGCATTATTCCAATTCCCTCACGGAGAGACAATTTAAACTCCTTCCTTTCTCTCTTTCCCCTTCCTCGGCTCATCTGATCCTTCCTGCCTTCCTTACTTCATTCTTCCTTCTCTTTCTTTTGTTAGTCACTGTTATGAATGGACAGTAATAAATGAAAGACTGTCTTTGACATGTCTGGGAGTTCCTCCAGAACATAAGAAGAACGGGGTGCTGGTTCACAGGCCACAGTCATCTTTAATCTTAGTAAATGCCTCCAAATTCCTCTCCAAAATATTTGTCCCATATTACGTGTTTTTCTCCTTTCTCCTACAAACATAGTGAGCAATGATGCCTGTTTTCCAGAAAACATTAGTGAATTGTTGGTGGATTTTCTATATGATAAAGTTATAAGTTTAATATGCTTTCTTGTCTTATTGCATAGGACAAGAACTGTATTAGGTATAAGTAATAGGCAAGAAAATTCATGTATTTTTTCTACTGTACAGTTGTTGCTTTTTTAATATTATGTAATATTATGTCAGTCTTCTGTAGGAATTCCCATTTCAGATACTGAATCCCTTTTATTGCCAGAGTGCAAGTCATCTTTCGCTGTGTAATAATTGTGCCATAGTTTTCTCCTCTCTCCTGTGGTTTGTGGGTAGTTGGATCGCTTCTAGGTTTTGATTCTTATGAATGGGGTGAATGGAAGGTTTATTTTTAAAAAATGTTGTATAGTGCTGAGGAGATGGTCAGTTAATAACGTACATACAAGCATGAGGACCTGTGTGTGGGTGCCTACATCTCTTTGTAAAATCCAAGCATTATGGTGCGCACATAGAACCTCAGCACTTGCCTAGGGTTTGGGAGGCAGAGACAAGTGGATCCCTGATGCTCATTGGCCAACTAGCCCTGTTTAATACAAAGACCTGCAGGTTCGGGGAGAGATCCTGTAGCCACAAAAAGGTGGCAAGTCATCCAGGAAAAGCATCAAATCTCTATCCCTTTCTTTTGTGCACAGGTGCTAGAAAATCTACGTACAAACATGCACACACCCACAGTACATGCTCCATATACAGAGCACAACACACACACCCATCACATAATGAAAAGTGTGTGTATAAGACTTTTGTGACAAGTTTCATTTTCATGGAGTACAATTTTGGGGTCATATGCTATGATGAGGTTGGTGTTCATTTTCCATGATAAAAATGTCCAGTTACTCTAGCACCGTTTGTTGAAAACAGCATTTTTATTCCTTCACCTTGCCCTCTGTGTGCAAACGTCTCTGCCTATTTCTGTTTCCATATGTCTATGCAATCACTACACTTTCTTGTCGGTCATGACTCTAGAAAGACTCTGGAAATCAGGCAATATAGAGCTTTCAGCTTTGATCATCTTTCAAAATTTAAAGTCACTGAGCACTTCCTGTAAAACTTTCTAGGATTTAGATTGGAATTCCACTGGTTTATTGATCAATTTGGGGACTGTGACAACTTGTCAGTACTTTGATTTTAAACTCATTAACACAAAGTATCTTACTGGGTCTTTAAGAAATTCTTCCAAGGCATGTTTTCTAGGTTTTTTTGTATATGCCCCATTTTTTGCTTACTTTTAGCCTTTTTATATGTGTTATACATCATGCCTCAATGTATGTGTGTTCATGTGTGTGTGTGAACACACATATGTGTGTGTATATGTATATGTTCCATCTTATTCATTGAGGTAGGGTCCTTAGCTGACCTTGGGGCTCATCTAGTTAATCAACTTATTCCTGGGGTGCCCTGTTTCTACCTTAGGAATTCTGGGATTACAGGTGTGCCACCACACCCACTCAGGTTGATATTTTACTTTATTTTTAAAGATCCTTAAGAAACATTTTCAGAGTTAGAGCAAAAGGAGGAGGATAATTTTCTACTAACAACTTGGTAGGTTTGTGTTGAATAAGAAACCACCGCTGCTGTGCTAACATCCCCTGAAGTCTAGGCTTTGCTCTAATGCTATTGATTTTCCCACTGTGTTCTTTTTTAGTTCTAGGATCTTACCCCAGATGCCCCATCATGGTTAGTTCCCACGTGCCCTTTGTTTCCTCTGGACTATGGTAGACTTTCAGAACTCCCTTGTTTTTATGACCTTGACAATTCTGAGGAACACTGGCCAGGTGTTTTACAGAACACATACACTTGCTAGTCTCTGATGGTTTTCTCATAGTGGGATTTGGATTTGGGGGACAAAAGCCACCAAGGTAAGCAAAAGCTATTGTCATCACGCCCTCCACTTCATATATGATTGGATCAGGATTTGACTGTGGAAGGGGCTGATCTGTGACCTCAGCCAACTGTGAATTCAACTCTAGCTAAGTTCTTTAACCCTGTTTCATTGTCTACCTCGAGTTGACACTTTCTTGGTACAATTTGAATGTGTGGAAGGAGGGTATGAATTGTCAGGACAGGGGATTTCCTCTCTGGTTCCAATTCAGTTTGTGTTTTTATCTGGGCTGAGCTGATTTCTTCTGATCTTGCTCTCTGCAAGACTCTGATCTTTGTCCACCTGTACCAAGTAGGAGCTGGCCTCTCTGTCCAGGAATTCAGGTTTCTAAGTATTGCTTATAGACCCTTGGAACAGAAAGACTTAATTTTTTCTTAATATTGTCTTGGTTTTTAGCAGAAGAGAAATGGTCTGTAATGTTCTAGATCCTAGTCAAAGTTACACATTGAGGTTAATTTTCATAATGTTTCTACTCCTTATACCTTTTTCTCTTGTCCCGCTGACATGCTCAAAGTCCTCTCTGTTCACCTTTTCTTTGATCTTCCTGCTAGCTTGCAAGGTTGTGTATTCCTTTTATGTATGCTAAAGGTATGTTTTTCTGCATGGTTGCTTAACTTACAATCAAATGTATGTTTTCCTCTCATCAACCTGCTTAATTATGTGTTACGGTGATCCCATGCTTTGTCTCCCCCTCTTTATCCTACCAGGTGAGTAATAATTATGATTATTTGGCCACAGGGGATGCTTACCTGTTTAGATCTTCCCCTCTGGCCTCCCCGGCCTTTCTCATCTCATTTCTTCCTGTGAGGTTTTACATTCTTTCCTTCTGGGACCCCCTGCTTCCATTGGTCTTTCAGCCAAGAGCTGTGTAAAGGTGAAATTGTGCATCTGTGCAACACTGTATTCAGCTCACTCTCACTCCCGGATGGTAATTAAGCCAAGGAGAGAATTATCAGCTTACTATTTATTTCTCTTCACTATTTTTGACACATTACTCCAGTTTCTTCTGACGAACACATTTTTGAAGCAGTCGCTGCTGGTTAAAACATTATGTGGTGGTCATAAATGTGACTACTGACCATGTCTGTGATTTTCTCATTGTCTCTGTGGTTTTGCTCTAAAGTGTCTGTAAATGCATCATTCGGGAGTTTCTGATGTTTAATATTTCAAGATCACTTGAGAATTTTCTTGCTGTGTAGCCCTGGCTGGCCTGGAACTGACATGCAGATCAGAATGGCCTCAAACTCAGAGATGTCCTCTTGCCACTGCGTCCCAAGGTCTGGGAATAAAGGCAAGTACCTCCATTCCCTGCCCATGACCTATAGTGTTTTAAATGTGAAAGCTTCATAATTTATTTTAATATTCAGGAGTTCGATAAATTCCTGTGGTTATATCATCTTTTAAGAATTTTTCCTTGAGTCGGCTGGTGGCGGTGAACACCTTTAATTCCAGCACTCAGGAGGCAGAGGCAGGCAGACAGATCTCTGACTTCTAGACCAGCCTGGTCTACAAGGAGAGTTCCAGGACAGCCAGGGCAACACAGAGAGACTCTGTCTTGAGAAACCAAAAGCAAACAAAAAACAAACAAATAAAAAATAAAATAAAATGTTTTCCTTGAAGTTTGTACTCATCAGTTTTCAGAGTAATTTTAGAAAATTTTATTAAGTGCTCAAATAATTAGATAATCTTTATTTTTAATGTAATTTTGAAGAAAATACATTTTCATATCTAAGAATATTTTTGGCACATAGATTTATGTATTTATCTTTTTAAGTACAATATAGATGTATAGTTTTATTTATGTAGGTCCTGAATATGTCATATTATTTATTTCTCTCATGTATTGTAGACTAGCCTCAGCTTTGCTGTGTAGACAAGGATGATTTCATACCATGCCTCAGCCCCGGGCATGCTGGGATTGGATGATCTCATACCACGCCTCAGCCCTGCGCATGCTGGGATTACAGGTGTGTGCCACGCTTCCCATTGATGCAAGGTGAGGAACCAGACTTGATTCTTCCTGTGTGCTAAGTGAGCCTTCTACCAAGTAAGCTGTGTCCCTGGCCCCAGCATCTTGTCATCTACAGTGTTGGAATCTGATATTCTCCTGGACCTTCAGCAGACTAGTGGAGAAATTCCTATTCGGTTTTGTGTACTTACTTTAATTCGGTATAATGTATTCAATTCTCTTCTTGGCTTTTTAAGTTTAAAATATTTTAATTTTCAAAAGTAAATTTAAAATTTTCTAGATTAAATAAAAACCCTATAATAGGCAATAGCTGCGTTTTCGCTATCTAGTTCCCTTGCCTATATTATACAGCCAACTAAATGGAAGGGACACTGCCACTACCCCATTTTTAATTTCACTGTGAGTAATAATAGCATTTCTCTAAAGGACACAATTCTCGTGATTGATTTCAGATATTCACACACACTCAGATTTTTAAAATTCCTGCAGCTCTTTTTTTGTAATCTGTGGAAAGTTGAGAAAACACTCTTTTGCTTGGAGAGTTCTTTTAATTGTCAAGTATTTCATGCACATATAAAAACAGTAAAACGTGTGTGTACGGTTCAGTGAAGGATCAATGAATCTCTTAGTACCTATTTTCTATTTAGATAAAAAAAAATCCCCAGGCTTTCTAAGCTCCCTGGGGTTCCCCCTTGATTTCTGCTTCCCCTCTCCACCTGTGGTAACCAGAAACCAGGAGTTTGGTTTCCTCATTTCTGGCTTTGTGTTATTGCTGCGAAGAACATACACACCCCTAGCCAACGGTTTCACATGTTAGTTTGAATGTGCGGTAGACGAATTACCTGACTTGCCATCTTTTGTAACTTGTGTCTTGCTTGTGAGATGCCTGTGTGTGATTGTAGCGAGACTGTAGCTGTTGGCCCTCAGTGCCGCTCACAGCTCGTGCAGAAAGTCTGCAGTGCCGTCCATTTCTGGCTGCTGCTTGGCATCGGGCTTGTTTCCAGTCTGGCTCCTCTGTCAACAGCCTGGCCGAATCCGTTTGTATGTGTTGTGGGCATGTCCGCGCAAGAGTTCTCTGAGCTTCTTGGCAGGGTTTTCCAACCAATGATTGGACATCTTGGGTCTTGGTGCCTGTGTGTGACCGCTTCATTGGATAGCGCGGAGATGCTTTCCAAAGTGTCTCTGCCACTCACTTTCCCATCAGAGGTGCGGCGAAATCGCACTCTTTGGTGCCCTGACTAACTTCTAGCACTCCCAGAGTGTTTCATTATTACGTGCCCATTCCAAGATTGCATTTCACTGCAGTGAGGACCTCAACTTTCCTGCCTTCCCTCCCTCCTTTAGTGAAAGAAAACGCCACACTGAGTAGCCTAGCTCTAACCATTAACTGTAGTAGCCTAGCTCCGTCTCAATCCTCAGTCCTGCTTCAGCCTCATGAACACTAGGATCTCAATGGGGTTTTCATTCATGCTTGTCTAGTGATTCCTTAAGATTTATCATCTCTTAAGCCTGCTATGTTACATTTCCGTTTATAATTCTTTGTATTACATTTTGATTTTGGAAATCCTTTTTATCCTAGATACTAACCCTCTGTTGCTAATCATTGTAAAATGAAACAAAACAAAAATCTCAGTTTGTTACCTTTCATACACGAGTTCTTGACTTTCAAGTTCTCAAAATTTTATTTTACTTTGCTGTTTTATGTTTGCTGTCCTTTTTTTGAGATGTTTTCCTTGGTGAAGTCAGAACGTGACTGCTTCTGTCGATTTCTGGAACATAAGCTCTCATCGCTGAGGGTGTTGTTTGTGACAGCTTTGATGCATGGAAGGCCTTGGGGGTTAATATTCAGCTTTTGTCTAATTTGTTAATAGGATAAACCACACTCACTTATGCTTTTATGCCCTGTCAGGGTTACTTTTTGGACACACTGAAATTGAAAATGGCATGTTATTGCTTTATATGTTTCTCAATTTGGTTTGCCAATATTTTGTTTACATTTTTTTCTTGGATGCTGATGAGCACAGTTGGCCTGGTACACTGTGTCTGTCTTGTTTGGAATTAAGGTCAGGTTGGTCTAGTAAAAAGAGTTCTCTAGAAGGGTTTAGGTCAACTTAGAATTATCTGTCCTTTTCTGTTTGGTAGAGCATGCTTGTAAAGCCATTCTGGGTCTAGTGTTTCCTGGTCTTAACATTTGTAACTATTGATGTGATTCTTAAGATGGCAGTACAATTTTTGACTGCCTTTTCTTCCTTTTTGAGTCAACTTTTTAGGTATATTTGTAGAAGTGTGTGGATTTAATGGAAGTTCATGCTTATTGGCAATAAGCTGTCTGTGATAATCCTTAACCTTTGCATCATAACAGTTCCTAGGATTTTGTCTTTCATTTCTAATAGTGTTTATCTTGTATTTTCGTTATCGATATGACAGTAGTTTTCTAAGAAATAGCTATTGAGTCTACCAATAGTTATTCTTATGTGTTTGATTTCTATTTTTATTAGTTTTTACTGTTCATTATTTTATTTTAGGGTGTGTAATACATGTGTGCATACTTGCTCCAGTGTGTGTGTGTCTGTGTGTGTATATATGTGTGTATGTGTCTGTGTGTGTTTCTATGTCTGTGTGTGTATATGTGTGTGTCTGTGTGTGAGTGTGTGTGTGTCTGTGTGTGTATATATGTGTGTATGTGTCTGTGTGTGTATATGTGTGTGTCTGTGTGTGTGTGTGTGTGTTGGGGACAGAAGCTGGCATCAGATGTCTTCCTCAGTTGTTATTCCTAGCATTCAGGGTCTCTCCCTGAACATGACGATCCCTGATTTGCACAGGCTGGCATGTGGATTCCAGGGATCCTCTTGCCTCCAAGTCCTGAGTGCTGAGATTACAGAAATGAATTACTATGCCTCTTAGAACTTTATTGTTTCTAATTAAACAGTGACAGCATTATTGCTTTATCTGACTTCCTTAAGTTTATAATTTTGAATTTCATAATTACTCTTTGACAATTTTTAAATTTCCAAGCATAATGTAGTTTTTCTTTTTGTCCTTCCATCTGTCCCACTATGTTCTAACTGGAGTTAGCACTGATCAGGGCATGCCATGAATGATACTGTCACTTTAGGCTGTGAAAAAAATATTTTTCCAGATTTTCCAAAAACAATATTTTAAGAATTGTGTGTGTGTGTTTTGCCTGTATGTGTCTGTGGGCCATTTGCATGCACTGCCTACAGATGCCAGAAAAGGGCGTCAGATCCCCAGAGGCTTGGAGTCTCAGATGGTTGAGAGCTGCCCTCTGGGTCCTGGGAATCAAACCTGGTCCTCTAGAAAAGCAGTCAGTGTTTTTAACCTCTGAGCCATCTGTCTGGTCCCAGGAAGCTAGCTTTCTGGGGTCCTGTGTGAGAAGTGTGTGTAGATGAATCAGAGTGTATTCAGGTACTCAGCTCTGCATTCTCCTATAAACAATAGATTTGAGATCTTTGTCATCTTCAGATTTTAATGATATTTCTTTATGCTCATACCGTTGCTTTGCCCCAGCCCCAACTTGGTATTATTTTCATCATGAGTGCGAACACTCTCTACTGGCTTTTGTAGGGTGAAATTTGGTGCTCCGCCATTAGCCATGTGGCATATTAGACGCGCATACAGATGTATATAAAAGAGCAGTTTACCACACCGCTAACCACACCCACTTTAGGCATGACTAAAGACGTATACGGACGTACTACCAAATTTCACCCTACAGGCTTTGTTGCCCACATAGTGATCACTCGTTTTGCTCCTCCTCCTCCTCCTCTTTCTACCACTTTATTTTCCCAGAGTAGTCTTTCTTCTCAAAATTCATCCCCTAGAGTTTCAGTGTTGAGGACATTTTGTATATCCTGTTTGTGGATGATTGCTGTTTTCACTTGTGCCTGTGTTTCGCATTGTGCATTTCTCTAGGTTAACCTGTACCTAGATGTCTAATGTCCTCTGCTCTGGGTTCCAGATGCGATCGCTTGTGTGTCTCCTGAGTGAACCAAGGATGCACCCATCAGTGCCATCTCTACCCTGAGTTGTGATGGAGCCAAGGGGGGTTCTTACCGTTTGAACTTCCTGTCTCCCAGACTTGCATGCTAAATAAACTTCTTTTTCAACAGTTGTCTGCATCTGGTATTTTGTGACAGTGGCAGGAAGCTAACTAGTACACCCGTGTCTTGCAGATATTATCGATGCTCTTTTGTCCCAGTGGAGGTGTGCTCTCTGGAAGTTTGCAGTCAGCTGCTCTGTGAGCATCCCATGCTCTGTCATCATCTGCCTCCAGCCCAGTGGCTCTCAACCTTCGTAGTGCTGCGACCCTTTAACACAGTTCCTCAGGTTGTGGTGACGCCCCCCCCCAGCACAAATATTTCCATTGCTACTTCGTAACTGCAATTTTGCTGCTGTTGTGAACTCTAGTGTCAATATTTGTGCTTTGCAGAGTCTGTAGGTGACCCCCGTGAAAAGGTCGTTTGACTCCCACTTCTTTAACTCACCCATTTCTGTAGTCCTTCGCTACGCGCCTACGGTGCCTGAAATACAATAACACCCTCTTTGATAGCGTACTTGTCTTTTCTCATTTTCCCGGGTCTTGTTAGACTATGGCTTGCTCTTCTGGCTTGGTCCTCTGTGTCTCTTAACCTCGTGTGCACATCATCCATCTTCGCCTTTGGACTGAGTTCAGACAGTCTCCTTGGACTATTTTGTTAATCACCCCTCCCCGCCCCCAATTCCAAAGTTCTGGCTCAGATGTAACCACACGTTGTCGCTTCCTCAACTTAGTGACTTGCCTCCAAGAGGAGCAGGGCATGCCCTGTCAGCATCTAGATGAAGACCAGATCTCTCAGCTTCAGGTCCAGAGATGACAGACTCTCCAAGATGTGCACAGACTCTTCTTGGATAGACTTGGAGCCTCAGTAGGTCACGTGCCACACTGTGCATTATTTATCCTGCTCTTAGAATACACCCAGGGGTTTCTAGCCAAGAACTCTACCAGTGTATGTGTCTGTAATTGACCACATCAGGGGATGAAATCACCAATTACAGGCTTCATGCTTTCAGCAAAGAATATAATTTTATCATAATATTGATAACAATTCCACAGGCCACATGATTTTCTCCAGTGGGGAAAGACAAGCCCACACATACTCTTCACTCCCCCACTCCCCCTGTCCTTCTGTGACAGGCTTCGGTGGCTTCTCTGGCAGTCACCCTTGGCACCGTACCTTTTTGGTATTACAGGGTTTTAATCAGAATCTCCTAAAATGACTGACTTATGCCTTAATAAAATCAGGCAACCATGCCCCAGCCGTGAGCTTGCTCGAACTTCTGGGAAAGATGTATAGTGGTGGCCATGTTCCTCTGGTCCTATCTCTATTCTTCTTCTTGTCCTGTGTTATATGGAGCAACATGGTCTCAAACTATAGTGACTGTTGAGGACATCCATCCAAGCATTGACTCTTTAGTTGAGAAGAACTTGGGGTTCTTTAGGGAGGACAAGGGGTCCTCCACAGCATCACTCAACAATCCAAGCCTGGGCTAGTCCCTCCAGGCTAGGATCTCATGTATGTGCCTGATTCTTTAGGCTCCATCCAGCATTTGCTAAGCAGAGTGAGGAGCAATGACTTTGCTATTGCCAGATCACTGTGGTTCATCAGAAAGCTATGACTCACCTTCTCTTCCCCATCCCCCTCTCTACCATCACTAGTACAGCCCCAGGCAGGCGGCCTGGCATGGTATCCTGGCCTCTGACTCTGGTTCAGAGATGGGCATGTGCTCCAGTTAGAAACACACTGAGACTGTTGTTTGAGGTATCAGAAGAGAGCCATAACCTCTTTTCCGTGGAACCATGAAGGAATAGGAGTAAGGTATTCTCAAAAGTCATCTTCCCACCTTGAGAGAGTAAAATCTTTCTGAGAATGGAGTGTGCCTGTGCACACCTCTCCTCCATGGGCATGTGAATTGAGAAACAAGAGTTTCTTTCTGAGCACCTGGATCCAGCTGTGCCTAAACTTATCCCCCCTCCTGGGGTTTTGAGTTCCTTAACTCAGTCAAATAATAACATAGGCCTTGGTATCTTTTGATGGAGATTTCTCTGGATCCTGATCAAGGGATCCATGTAACCTGCTTCTTAGGAGTATGAGTGGGGAGGCGTTGACAACTTAATTTTTATGTAGTGATAGTCTTATAATGGGATCTTTAGTCTTGCTGCAGATGCTCGATTTCCTGATGGAGAGATGGCCCTCCCTTGGCTTATTGAGAGCATACTGAGGTTGTGGTTGTGAAGTGATTGGAGAAAATGATTCAAGCCAGTAAACGACAAAGGCTGTATTTTGAATGGTAAAGGAAGGCACATGTCCCCCGACTGTGCGCTCTTGTTCTTGGTTGATATCCAAAGGCTTTTTTTTCTATCAGGATGTCGGAAAGCCCTGGGGGTGTAAACTCTGATAACCCTATAGATGTACTGGTCCTAGCAAACATACTGACTTCACCCTTACAGTGAGAAAGTTAGTAATTAGCATAGGGTTTTTGATGAATCATAGAGTTTTAGAGATGGGTTCCAAAACCAATGGGGAAATGCCAGAGCGGGGGACGGAAAGGAGCATCCTCAACATTCTCAAAGGGATGGAATTTCCAGCAGTTGTCACGGTGGGGGGCCGCTCCGAGTCTGTGTGGGAGCAGATGGGTGGGCCCTCACTCGGGACCCAGAGTGTCTCACCCTCAGCATTGTTGACACCTGAGGCATTCTCTGCTCTTGGCTGGTAGGATGCTCAAAGCTATCCCTGGTCGCCTCCACTGGGTTCTTATAAAACCATGCCTGCAGAGGCACCCAGAAGGGCAGTCTGACCTGGGGAGAGGCACTGGGTCTGGTTCTGTTGCTGTGATAGAATACTCTCACCAAAAGCAACTTGCAAGAGGGAGGGAAGGGTTTCCTCCACCCTACACTTCTAGCTCACATTATGTCACTGAGAGAGGTCAGGGCACAGAAACGGTGGAGGAATTCTGCTTTCTGGCTCAGGTGTGGGCTAATGCTTAGCCAACGTTGTTTTATGGTGGAACCAAACCACCTACCTAGGGAATGGTGCTACCCATAGTGGCTTGGGTCCTCCTACATCAAGTAACAATAAAGATAGTTCTCCAGATATGCCCATAGACCAGTCTTATGTAGGAAATTCCTCAGTGGCGGTTTCTCTTCTCAGATGACTTGTTAGTGAAGTTGGGATTGGACATCATGAAAAACACAAAGCTTAAAGGAGGAAATCACCTTTGGCAGTTGATATACTATGGACTTCCAAACATTCAATTGGAGGATTCCTAGACCCAAGGGGTTCAACAAGGTCCTGGATCAGTGCACTGGAATCAGCAGTCACACAGTCCTTTGCTAATCCTGCTCTGGACAGAGAAAAAATTGGAAATCGATGCCCCTTTAAACTTTCCTGATGACTTGAGTACTTAGGTACAGTCCTAAAAAAAAGGTAATAAAATTTATGAACTGTGGGTGAAATCAATCTTATAAATGTTCTGATTAGCTTAAACTGTCAATTTGACATGATCTGGAATCACCCAGCAAAAGATCCTCAGTTGAGTAATTCTTCATCAGGCTGGTTTGCGGGCATATCTATAAAGGATTGTCTTGACTGTCAATTGAATAAGAGGACCCAGCCTACAGTCCCGATACCGTTCCCTAGGAAGGTGCAACTTTGAGCTGGGGAAGTCATTTACTGTGTGGAGTTTAATGGGATGCTCTGTTGGAACTTAGAAGATATGAGTATTGAGAGGAGCATTGAGTGTGGAGGCTTGTCTTTCAGAGTTTCACAGGTAAACAGAGATTCTATCTAGATAGGTGACAGTGGCTATTCATGTGGGGTTTTTTTGTTTTTTGTGTTTTTGTTTTTTGTTTTTGTTTTGTTTTGTTTTTTGGATTAAGGTTCTGTGTGCTCATCCTCTGTAGCTGAAGAATCATCTGTGATAAAAATAGACACAAGCACCACTGAAGTAAACGTGTTTGGCATTCTTTGGGATGGTAGGGTACTGATCAGCTAGGGCTGAAGAAATAGCTGTGACTGACAAGACACAGTTTAGGCTTCACCGGGGAAATAGGAATGTTTTTACATGATCAGCACTCAGAAACAGTGGTCCAAGGGATAAAAGAGTGCATCTCAAGCATGACCATGTGCCAAGGTGAACTTGGCAATGTATAAGAGTCACCCATAGGACACTTGGCTGTAAAGGCATGAAAGCTTACGAGACTGAGGAAGCCATGTAGTAAAGCTGAGTCTTGGTGCCATATGACAGGGTTGGAATCCCTGAAGAGAGGTCATTGGTGGAGGTAAAGCCTTGTCGCAGTGGACACCCCAGGCTCTTGGAGGTGGCAGGGGGAGTCTGGGACAATCAAGGATAGCAGCAGGTCTGGAGTGGAGCCAACATGAGCCTACAAGACAAGCCGTATGTGACGGCAGAACCAGAGAGGAGGTACTGACCACGCCTTTTGGAGCCAGAAGACTACATAGGTGAGTTTCAGGTGTTGGACTTTTAGCAGCAGGATTTAGATTTATGCCGCTGGATTTTGCTTTTACTTAAGTATGGACTTTTATGTCCAGGTCTTCCATTTTTGGAATGAGAATATATAGAACTTGTCTTTGGTTTTGATAGGAACCCACATTTAAGAGATTTTGCCTTTTTAATGAGAACTCTGACTTTTAAAGCATTGAAAAAATTTTAAGGACTGTGAGACTTTAAAAGCTGTATCGTGTTTTATACTGGGCTCTTGGGGGTCAGGAAATGAAAGTTTATGGTTTACAGTGTTGTGTTTGTGTGCCATGTTGACAAGGGGTGGAGTTCTCTTGTGGGCTCTAACTGTCTGTCTGAGGCTGCCTAGAGTCATCTGAAGAAAGGTCTCCACTGGGTAATTGTCCTTAACATTCTGGCCAATGGGCATGTCTGTGAGGGTTATCTTGATTGTTTTTTTTGATGCAGGAGGGCCCTGCCCACTGTGAATGGCAAGGAGAGGTGGGCCTAAGTGGTGTAAGGAAACTAATGGAGAATGAGCCGGAGCAAGCCAGAGAGGGAGCCAGCAAAGAGCATTGCTCCACGGCTCCTCCCTTGAGAGTCTTCCCCGGT